ATAAGTGCACATTTTGACAATCAATGTGCTGAAAATTTACTTAGCATTTTATGGTATATATCCAGTAGTTAAGTTTAAAATTGTCAGAAATAAACCTCACTTGCCTTACTTCACTATAAAATGCGTTCATAACATATTTATTTATATCAAATGGTAGGCATTTTGATAGTTATCATTAGCCTTTTAGTTGACTTCAGGCTTCACAGAGGGGAAGGAACATCAAAGTGGAAAAAGTTGAGAGGGGGGGGGGAGACAGAAGAGTGATTCAAAGATGTAAGAGAGACAGACACAAAGGTAGAAAAAAGGTGAGGTGAGTACCGTAAAGTAGTCGAATATGACATAAAATGGGGTGAGGGTAGTTTGAAGTCAGAAGTCAACTGCCAGTTAATAGACTTTTTTGCTGTATGAGTATACGTTGCCCAGGGCGAACCACGTGGAGGTAAGTCTATCACACACCCCGCGTTCGAAACATTATTAACCCTTTAACACCTTTAGGGCCGTGTGGTCCTCCTTCAAAATAAAATCCTTTGATACTGGAAACATGTCTATGTAGCCTTCACCTGATACCACCAAAGCTCATCATGTCGGCGACATCAATCTGCTATGAGACATGAGTGAGTGTGGTTGAATGCATTTGTCAAAGAAAATAAATCGGCGTCTAAGAGTTGAAAGATTAAAATCTAAGGGGTTTTCCAGTGATTGGAGAAGTAGGTATGAAATTCCTCTGAGTAAATTAAATTAACATGGAAGTGAATGATAAAAAATCTTAATTATCGTTGATTTCGAAAAAACAGGATATCGTTGAAATCACTTGCGCACCCTAAGTGGACTAAGAGATAGTGGAATAAATCATGTTAAGGATATATGACTCATATTATTTATCGATTATATCATCCCTACTAAATAATACTCAGGCGAAAATCAATGTGCTTCTAAAATCTTCTTTCCCCCAACTTATTTAGGAAATTTTTCGAAATTAAAGTTGCCCCGTTTCTAGCTGTGACAAGGAACACCACCACAAATGCTAAATGTTATCGAAGGTGCTGGGCTCAGTTAAGAAATTAGTTTCTCAATATTTTTATATTATTTCAAACAGCTTTAAAAATTAATCAGAAATTGGTAGAAAATTATTTCCTCGACCGTAGTGTTTAGATCTTACTGATCGATTGATTCATTATTTGTATCAATTTTGGCTAAGAAATATTGAGTCATGCGCGTTTGGCTTTTACGTTTAAGCACTTAGTTAAAACAAGTACAACTCGATTTTAAGCACGATAATTCTTTCAGCTTGCTTGGAGGAGCTTGACGAACTCACCCCACTGAGATCTGTTGTTGCATCTCTCAACAGCGTTTTATGGACACCCTTCCAACTTCCATATGTCGATAATATTGCTCGTCAGATCTTATTCCTTGCTACTTTAAACAATTGAATTAACATAACGTTTAAATGTGAGAAGCGCAGTAGACAAACATTTAATATTTCCGTTCTATAAGCATTTATTGCGCTAGCTTCATGTTAATTAATCATACCCTACTATCACCAGTGCCTGTTGGAATAAAAACGAGATACGATGGTATGATCAGCTGGTCAACAAATACGGGAAATTGTAAGCATAAACTGCTCGAGATTCATTAGAAACGTCCTCAATAAATAACGCGTCATACCAATGAAACTACTAAGGTAGGAAATCGTCGTTACATATTCAGTCCATCTGAGTTTTTTTCACATCCCTATTCGATCTTAACTTGTTTCAAGTTGGTCAACAAGATGATGGGAGGCAGGAGCGAAAGCCACTTCCACCTTTGCAACCCGCCATCCAAAAAAAATAATATTATCTGTGGCCTCCTCTGTTGTAGCTCGGAATGCTGGCTTATTCATATCGAAAGTCAGAACGAGTAACAATGTGCGCCAACTGTCAAACCTCAGCTACTACACTCTGGCGAAGAAATCCCGATGGTGAACCCGTTTGCAATGCTTGTGGACTATACTTCAAACTTCATAAGGTAATTTTCAACACCTCAATTGCCCTTAAAAAGTTGCTTTAAACTAATTTAACTAGGGGCTATCTACGTGGACTACTGTTCTCATGATATTGGCCGTACTATTTCAAATTACCTCTAATCAGTCTAGTCTGTGCAAAATATTAGACGTGGGATCTTTATGGTAGCAGTTAGGCTTAGAGCGAATAGCTTACAAAAAATTAATGATCCTCCTAGAGACTAGCAGAATAAAACAACCTTTCTCAAAATCAGAAGATCATGATTTTAACCTCGGATGTATTGGATAAGAAAAAGAAAATAAAATAAAAGGAATAGGTAGAAGAGTTGTGAATTAAAGGAAGGGGAACAGTTTCAGCGCTGAGTGGATGTAATCAAGGTTGCTTTAAGCATGCCGATTTAAGATATCCCGAATTGGGCTAATTGGTACTGCTTTCTTTCAGTTAGATCAGCAATCGATAAAAATAATCAGGATGCGAAAACGCATGAGTTATGGGTATACGCTAATCTGCCATAGGTAGCCCACTATTTACTGGTTACCTCCACCTATGGGAGCGAATCGATAAATCAACCCCGACGGCCGATGAATCAATAACCTTGCTGGAGAGATTGGATGACCTGACTGGGATGGCTTGTGGTAAAATTAGCTCAAATAAAATGTGTTAGGGAAGAGCTTTTAGATATGATCTTATGTAATAAAAGAATATACAAAAGTGTGGGTGCATATAGAAATTGAAACCAGGAAACATTCAATGCACATAGATGAAAAGAAGCGACAATCATAACACAATGGTCACATTTTCCCTTAGAGGCATGAAACTGTGTGTTAATTGGAGTTCGACATTCGAGCTGGTCCACTCCACGAAAAAGCCGAGGTGTTAGCTTAGCCTATTTCCAATTAGATATCGGGCAAGTTTCACTCATTGACAAATGAATTTAAAGGCAATTAAATAGACCTAACCTCAGTAAAGACACTCCTATTATGTGAATTAGGTTCACCTTTTGAAATCTTATGATATTAAAGGCTAACAGAAGCAATAAACTTGCACAAGTCACTAAGCCTAGGATTGAGGTAGATAGTATCAGACGCTGGCAGAGAGAATGAGGGGTATGGAAAACTGAATAAGCTTTTGAACGAGAAGTGATATTATCCTTGCAATCAAGGCTTATATAAAGTGCATAGGAGAGCGAAATATTTCGATATTGAGAAGAATTCTGAATCAGTTTGCGCGTGTAACTGTCCCATTTACTTATCACGTTGGTTATAATTTGCAGTAGGTAACGCAAAAGCGGCGGGTGTGGGTATCATAAAATCTGTCATTAGAGTTTGTAATTTGACCTTATTTGAGACCTAAGATGAGGACTTTAACTTAAAGCAGTCCATTCAACTAACAATAGAACAGGTACTGAAGGGTACATTTTGGCCAAATATGGCTGGGACTGACATGCTATTATAGCTCATTAAAATATTTTAGTCGATGGAGCTAGTATATGGATTTCTGTGGTCTTCAATCAATAGAATAAGGGGAATTTGCCATCTGTTGCTTAAAATTAGGTCGAACTGAAGAATTGGTACTTGCTACGATTACGTAGTGGCTCACTTTGGAGTAGACTGCTCCTTAACGGTCTCTCGGAGGTAGATATGCGGGCATTGGAATTGAGGGTGACATCCTGGTAGATGAAGATTTAATAAAATCTCGCATTTTGAAGTTAGAAATTCATCCCCTGTATCAACAACCCAAAACCCTGTCTTCATCTCTCCACTGTTCTCTTCAATCCACATCGTAGTTTGTTCAATAAACCTCGGCCTTCAAAACTCATTTGTTCCGCTTTAGAAACTGCCGTTGGCAGAGAAGTAAACGGCTGGAGTGTTGGGGTGTAAGAGAAAATGTATTCACAATTTACCTTATGAAGCAATACTACTGTCGTTAAAGTCCGTGAATCTTCAAACAACACTGAGTTCGAAAATGTGGATTCACCTTTGTTGGACTTTTTGGCCATGCCAGACCGTTAAATTCGAATTTTGTTCCTAACGGATCGAAGAGGCAACTGTATAAGGTAGACATTTCTAAAGAATGTACTGAGCGTTTGAAAAAAGCTAGACTAAGGATATTTACAGACCCATGGAAGCAAACAAGTTTGTTGCTACTGAAGAATTGGAAGTAAGCTAATGATCTCATCAATCGATATGGGACATTTGCCATCATGGGTGTATCGTGAACCCGAGAAACAGCCCTCAAAATCTTATTTGAAGTGAGCAAACGGTGTCACGAAGGTGATTTTCCACTTATTGTTCAGACTGACGAAATGAAATTTTAGGTAAATCGGCCGCTCTCAATGAAAAAAGAAGCAATTCAAAAGCGCAAACGCGGCAAGAAGCGATGTGATAGACTAGAAAGTGACAAACCGTCTCTGACACAAGTAAGTGGAACCAACCTCAAACATTCGGTAAAGGAAAAATAGCATACTTGACTGTATTATTGAATTTTAGGCAAAATTTCATCTAAATGGAGAGTCCAGCAAAGAATTCATCGTGGCAAACACAATGAGAGAGCACCAAGAAATTGATAATCGACTATTTTTGGGACTTTATCAATCTAGACAAGGAAGCAGTAACAACGAAGAGGAAATGTACAGACTTCACAATTATTTTAATCCAACGGCAACAAATTACTATTAGTTAAAATGAACTGTCTTTCAAGCTTAAATCAATTATAATTGATTATGATCTCAATATGTTCTCCATTGGGATTAACTTGTAAGCTGATCACCAGTACCATTTTGAAAACTAGAACACATTATAATATACAACTGATTTTCGTATTGAGGGGATTTAGTTGACCCAAGTAAACCTATTAGTAACAGAGGCCGAAACATTCAACAACGATAAAGCCAATTTTTAGTAACCTTCCATGAAGGGTGTTACGCATGCACCAATCTCGTAAGTGTGGGAACGAACCCGGCTGGAAGAGGAATTTTAGTATTCATATAATCTGGGCTATTCGTTAGGACTACAATAGAACAAACTTAGATTTACTTCCGCTACTACTCCTCTTTTGTAAGTACACAATTTTCCATTTGGTCATAGTATTGATAACTCAACTAGTTCACCGGTAATATTGCATCGAGAAATCATTGCTGATGAAATCCTATTGCCTGAATAATAAATTCCATCAAATCTTAGATCTAGGGTAGCTATGTACAAAGAAGTCAAGTTAATAAGAAATGGAAGTTAATTTTGATGGAAATATCCCGCCATTTTTATATAGAAGCTTGTACTAGTGAAAATATTCTTGTGGACAACAAATCGAGAAACCACGAAAAGCCTATAAACTATTCAAACTTTCGAAGACCACTGAGGAAGGCACGTCATAAACAGCGTCATGGGAAAAAGACAAGATCGAATTTACATGGAGGCTAGGTTTAATCATCATTACCAATCAGATCATTTTCAAAACAGAACTAATATTAAGTTAGCACTTTTTGCCAAATTCAACTCCTTTCAAAATCAAATCGGCCCTTACACCAACAAATCAAACCGTGATTGGGCAATAAGCAGATTTATTATTATTAAAATTGGAGAAAGTAATCTCCAATGATGAGATTACACGATTAAACAGACACAAGGTTAACAATAAACCACCTTTTAGCATTTCCATTATGAACACAAGACAACATTCACTCAGTGGTTTCATGTATTCAATGCTGCTGGGAACCTGGATTTGATTGAGATGAGTTGCCTGTTTGCGGTGGTGGAATACCACCAGGTGGGGGCACACCACCGCCATTACCAGCACCGTGAGGTTGGGCTGCCATCTGCTGTTGCTGCCATGCTTGCCACTGCCAGTATTGCCAATACTCAGCCTAGGGGAAAGAAATTTATTAATAAAAATTACAACTTGGGAAAGTAAATAAACCAAATCATATGCATGGCGTCGCTATCGTTCAAGCAGTAATTTTATGAACAAAAAACTAATTTGATTTCCTTGAAATGGAGCGAAAATACTAAAAGCAGAACTTAACCACTGGCGTGATAATTCATTTCACAAACTATTACAATTGTAACATGACTATAAATTACCAGTGCACAGCGAATTTAATGGGTATCAACACCAGCTTGATTCAACTGTGCTCGATGAAAAACAGGTTTTTGCCCGTGGAGTCCTATCACAGACAATTCAATGCAATTACAAAGACTACAATACGTTACGCGTAGACATTTTAACATGCAGCATTTTGGTTGCTCAATAAAATACAAGCACTCGGTTGGATGAAGCCATCGCAAGTTAGGGGCGGATACAAAAAGATGAGTAATACATTTGCGTCCACTTATTCACAATTTGATGCATCCCCTAAAGTCTCGAAGTGCTCGGACAAAAAAACAATGGACTTTTTGTAATAAATCCCACCTCAAAACTAACAGACCGACAACAAAACAGTGACACTCTGCCGGTCTCAAAGCGGATAATGAAGTAAGGTCAACGGATTTACAGGGACCTAATTCATATCAAACAAACTGTTAATTAAAAGTAGGAAACGATATATGTTATTCGGGGATGTGCGATGCCATATTCGATCACTTTCACAGTACTCACCTCACCTTTTTCTACCTTCGCCTTTAAAACACTCTTCTGTCCATCCCCACCCTCTCGACATTTTCTTCCTTTGATATTCCCTCCTCTCAGTGAAGCCTGAAGTCAACTAAAGAGCTAATGATAACCAACAAGACGTCTGCCATTTGATATAAATAAATATATGGCATTCTGTTTCACAAATGCTTTCAACGATGCCATTTAGTTGAATTTACGAGAATTTGATCCGACAATAATAATTATAAAACATTTGCCGGTGATTTATTCTCGCCAAATGGAAATGTAAGAAAAAAATAACTCGTACATGCTCCAATGACCTTTTTCGAAAAATGTCGTTGATGACTGTGAAATTAGTGAATTTCAGGAAGCGAACAAATGATTCATAAACTGCACGTCCATTCCTATACACATACGCATAACTTGTCCACTTCTTCATCAAATCCCCTTTGTGGTCTATTCAATGCATTTTGAACATTGTGTTCTACAACTATATAATAGCTACTTAAAGATGTCTGAGCTGAGTACTATAAACAAGCTGAACACAAACGAAACTTGCACCGCTACTCCTAAGGTGGATTCCTTCGCGGTATAGCCTTTATGTACCTATTATACAAGAACAATGAGACAGATGTGTCATATTAAGGGCGGTTACATTATGGATATAACCTACCTTCTGATTTGACCTCCAGTGATTTTGCTCCAATGACTCAGTGTGGACATTATAATTTTACCCTCTACACATGTTAAAGAATTCATTTAACAAAGATAACTATTTTATTTTGTTTTATTTCAGAATTGGCCTTGCCTGGTACCAATTTGAGCAATCATTACTAACCAAACGATTTGTTAAAATCATATAAGTAGCTAATTTTATTTTCTCACACAATCAAAGATCTACTTAATTAAGATTGATCTGGACAAACGCGAGCTGAATTGAACAGCTAATACGAGTCTCATCACCATAACTGAGTAACGTGAACCAGTAAACAATTACCTGTTGTGCAGGATCAGTAGGATATCCAGGTTGTTGGGGCTGTTGGCCAGGAGCAGCAGTTGAAGCCGCGGCCGATGGATGTTGAGGTTGTCCACCAGGAGCAGCAGCCTGTTGTCCCGGTTGTTGACCAGGTGCAGCAACACCTGTAGGGGGAGGAGGAGCAGAACCGGATTGTGAAGTTTGTGAAACATTAGTAGCGCCTGCAGCGCTCTGATAAGGTACTTGATATTGTTGCTGCGCTTGGCGTGCAATCATATCAGCGTACTCATGCATACCCTGTCGCCGATAGTACTCTATCCACGCAGCACTGTAGTCCGGCTGTCCTGTGTGGGGATTGACCGTGGGGGCAGGCATATTCGATCCCCAGTCTAAAATACACAAAAAAGGACGAAATAAGATCAGCAAGCATGACCACTACTTAATCTATTTTCATTGGAATAAAAATGCATTTAACCACTAATAACATAAATCTACTTGTAGCAATACCATCAGCACCTGACGCTTGACAGCGTATTAAAGGCGTAAATAAAATGTAATACAAGGTTATGGACATTATCAAATGGGCAAAATATGGGAAACATATAATCAATTGATTGGTTATAAGGTTACACACAATACATAGACAATATATTATGAGAAGACAATATAACGATAAGCACAAATCAAACCTGTGACAGGTTTTAAATGGCCAAAACAACCCCTTTAAGTGAGTGAATTTGAGAGCCAGTGAAAGTAGTGCTGTTGTTCTCTCTGTAGTGCTGCCTGACCTAATGGTAAAAAGGCCGTTCGCACCCAATATTAATAGGGGCGAACAAAAAACGGGATGGACAATCATCACTTACCTGAAGCGCCGTAACCAAGTTGACCCCAAACGCTTGCAGCAGCTGGTGTGCTACGGCGAGAGATTGGAATTCCCGCGCGTTCAGAAATCATCCTTTAAAGGTTTGATGAGGAAGATGGGGAAGAAGTGTAGACCACAGGATTATTGACACAGGGTAGATGGGTTATTCGAAGGCAAGGTAATTTCACCAAATATATGTAAAACAATGAAAACGAAAATGGCACCGGTTAAGAATAAAATATATATAGAAAAAACGCGTTCTTCGAGGAGACTTAATCTTATCCGGGCCATATAAGAAAAGAAAATTTTATAAAAACTTACCTAAACTATTAAGAAAAAACTAATGTACACAAACCAGAAAAATGTAAATATAAAACAGACGTAAAAGAATACTAAGAAGCAGAAATCTGAATACAGGATAAAAAAGTACAGCCCGGAATTAAAAAAACAGAATGGTTCAAAAAGGAAAACCACCTGATAGCAGTCTCAATTTCGGAATTATTGCCACGAATGTTGAAAATCTTGATAGATTCATCTGGCGGAGGCTCTTTGGAGATTTCAACATGAGCGCCACTGACTCGACATATTTCCTTGATTGATTCCCCGCCTTTACCGATAACTAGACCAGCCTTTTCTGCGGGAACAGCATAACGCGTGGTTTCTGCATTCTCTGACAAATTTCCAGCGCGTCCACGCTACAGAACTCGATAATAAAAAAGCGAGCATACCGATATAATCTCCAAGACAAGCTGCTTAACCTTTTCGATTCNTGCAGGATCACCAGTAATACGGAGTGGCTTATCTTCTTGTGTTGGAGCATTAGTTGCCTGAATAAGCACCATCTTGACACCATTTTCTTCCTGGAGTTGCTTGATAGTCTCACCATTTTTTCCGATAACCAAACCAGCCTTGGTTCCAGGAATCATCATTTCGTAAACTGTGACAGGCCCACTAGGGGCGTAAACGTTTTGTTGTGGCATATATTGCTGCTGATGTTGCTGAGGCGGCTGTTGGGAGTAGTTTGGAGGTGACTGTTGTCCACCACTCACACCAGATTTCTCAGCGCGCCCAATAATATCATCAATTAACCTCTTAGCATGACTAACAAATCACTAGAACACAAGACGAAGAACGGAACTTACGCAACTTGCTGCTGAGTTCCAGTGAGGGTTACAACCCGATCCCTACCATTGCTTTCTGAACAAAATAATGATCAGGAATAAAATAAAAAGATACCCTGAGCAATCTGTACTTTGCAATTGGATTCATTTTGCAAGGACGTTATCTGTTCGCCTTTTTTGCCTATTACTAAGCCAACATAACGGTCAGGAATGGATGTCTCAGTGGTTATTAAGCGATCAGATGACCCCTGTTGATAAGAAGGTGCACCTGAAGCCCCGAGCTTTTGATTTAATCTTGCAGCTGCTTCCTGTGCGGCTGCGATTCCTTTGTCATTGCGGATCATCTTTTCAGGCGGAGCGTATCCACCCATAGAGTCAGCCGATCGCTTTCCGACGTTATAAGAGCCATTGGAATGACTATCATCTTGATTAAACTTAGATACAACCTGCAACAAACATTAAAGAGCTAATTTTATACCATTTTGGCTCGCTCAATGGCATTTACATAGGCATCATTGTGCGACATCTTAACAGCGTACGACCAACTTTGTAGTATTTAAAACAAATTACAAATTTATTTACATAACATATTCAACTGAAGTAAGCAATTATATACATATTTAAAGATCTTTAAAATTGCAATAAATTAATTTTATTTATGCTCAATTGCAATAAGCCTAAATTTCAAATATAATAAACCTCAATATTTTAAGATATGTGATATTGATAAATTAGGTTCTTACAAATTCGATTATCAACGTTAAGTTGCAAATTGATTTTAATATCTTATTAGCTGCAGCAGAATATAATTACGAAGCTTTTGGCAAAGATATACGTGGGGTATTTTCTGTGACCTGAGTGAAATATGTTGCTCATGTTATAAAAATATTCATGGAAAAGAGAGTTATTCCATTAAAAAGCAAACTTTTGTCCGTTGGTGGTTTTTCATAATTCTAAATGGAATGTAGAAGACTTTACTCAAGTGGACATTAAGAAAATCATTAGAACGTCGTTTCGTCTTGGAAATTTCACAGCAGGAAATTTTTAACTTTCAGAAACTATTCACACGTGTCAAACCATATTGTTTTATGAAGGGTGTCGATTCGGCACATTTTTTATGAATCTCTCGTATTACTTAATTATTTAATTGAAAGCATGCCTTAATAGGAACCTCAAACAGTCGTCCTAGTCGAGTAAATATTCATTTATTTATAAATCGTTCCTGATTACTAGTAACGATAATCAACGTTGATCATTGCATAAAACATATTTCATGCCCATGCAAGCATTCAGATGAATTTCAAAATTTAATACTTATTCTTGACCTTATACTGAACTTTCTTAATAATCTACCTCCAGAAACTTATTTATATCTGTCTTGAGAAACACAACTTACATTTGAATTTTTATGAAGAAATGGATGATGCATAAAATATCTTTACACTATAAATGAGAGCGTGAAATTAGTGGTTTTGGGGAATTTCTAACTCCGAGGTAGCTTAGCTAACTTCGGAAGCCTTTCCATACTAGGCTACCTTTACAAAAAGGTAGTTTAGGTAAAATGTTGAAGGAGCATATACGCATTTCTCTTAAATTTGATTTAAGTGAAATTAAATTTATATCAAGAATATTAACCTATCTCTTTTTATTTGAATCATCAAGACTTTCATTGCTAACCGGAACAGTAACAATGGACAAAGTTTCAAATGCTTAGTTATCCATAATTTGAGAAATATTTTCAGTGTGTTCGAATAAAACAGAAATCTTTATAATGATATAATGCTTTGATTTGGGAGTTCAAATATATAAATGTAATCCCGTAAATTCTAGAAATGAGACTATTGTGGGACACGTCATCGCATAGGTGTACACACAGTCTTGAGGTGCGGCCGTACAACTTCGCGTACGGATTGAGGACAAGA